CGATGGGCCCCGGCCGGAACAACTGCCTCTGACACTCATATGGCAGGTATGTATGTGATGGTTTACAGTACGAGCTGTCCAACCTGGTGGGCTGGTACATGCACGACTGTTTCTCTGCACTTGTTATGCTGTCGTATTGTACGGCCTGTATGTACCTGCGGGTTTGCACATGCTACGACTGCTGTATGTGTCGTCCGGACATGTTCGTCCACCTGTCGGATTCCGGACCACCTTACGGACCTTCTTACCACCTCCTCATCTGTGGTGTATGCACAACCCTGCCTATTTTCCACTATAGATGCTGGTGCTACGGGCTTAGCGCCTGTCGCGGTCGTCGTGCGCCAACCAGCCGATCCTGGTCCTCTCCGGGGTAAGTGACAATCTGCAGATTATCCTATTAGTCCTATTTGTTCTGTTTGTCCTACTATATTCATCGACTGACTTTGGCACGTCCTGTGCATAAGTCACGAGTATCACTCCAGTGCTGCACCATTTGCCCGCCTGGCATGTTAACCTTATGAATATCCGCCCCCTCCACCCAACGCAGCTGATGCCGATCTGGGCGTTCCGAATGAACTGGAGGTGGTCCTTCCCCAACCAGCTCCTGTTCCGACGGACAGCAGCGACTTTGATAACCGGCCCAATGTGGTGCATGACCTGCTCACCGGGCGTGCACGTCTCGCATTCGCTGCTGGCGGCCGTGGCGCTCAGGTCCTAGATGACCGCCATCCAGCCATCCTTAACGTCTGCTTCCCGGTCTCGTTTCCATATGGTTTGTCCGGACAGCGGCCACCGGGTATGTCGTTCGCCTCATATTGCAGCCACCTCGTACGGCGGGTGCCACGGGCGCAGTTCAGCAGCAACTTGATGCTGCTTGCCCGAATGTATGATATCAGCGTGCGGCAACAAAGCATGGCGCAGGTAGGAGTGGCCCTGCGTATGCAACCACGACTGGGTGGACCAGCGGCACGGGTACCGAGGGATGTGGTACGCACCATGGCGGACATCTTGGCGCTGCCATACCGTCACGCCCAGCGACGGCAGCTGCTGTTGCAGCAGTCCCCCGTGGTGCGTGCCCTCCTGGATGGCGCACGTGCCAGCCTCCTGCGAATCGACCTTACAGATACCTACTACAATGGTGCAAAAGCCATGATGCGTGCGGCTGCCCTCACCATCGGCTGGCCACCATTGTTCTTCAATCTCAACCCGGCGGACATGCACGCTGGCTGCGCTGTTGTAGCCTCTGGTCAGCTTATAGAGTTCGACGACGCCGGTCGTCCGACCCAGATCAGCAGCATGGTGGAAAAGTGGCGCCGCGTCAAAGAAGACCCGCACAGCTGCGCGGCACTGCTCATCGCCACGAAAGAGGTGTTGGTGGAACAGTTGTTTGGCTTTGCACCTGGAGCAATGCGGCAGACTGACCCTAACTGCTTCTGTGGGGTCGTATTCGAGGTAGTCGTCAAGGTTGAACAGAGCGGGCGATTGGCGCTACACTTGCACGGAGTCGCACACCTCGAGTGCTTCGCACTGGACAACCTTCAGGCGTTATTCTGTGGACCCAACTGCCGAGCTCTGGCGCTTGCGTACGCGCTGTGCGAAATGTGGTACCCCTCCCCATACTATGCTCCGACACCGGACAGCGGGACACAGCCTCTGGTCATGTGTATGTCTGATGCGGAAGCGCAGCAGCACGGTCTACCCGTGCCAGCAGTGCAGGCGGACTGCCCACCTGCAGCATACAACTTCGAACGACTGGCAGGGTGTGCAAACGGCGGACTGCCGCCTCCATCGCGACATGCCGCCTGCCGTGCCCATCACACTGCCATCATACGCAGTACCCTCACCCACAGCCACAGTTCGACGTGCAAGCGGCATGGCTGCCGCGGTACCGATGACAGCTGCGGCATGGCCTTTCCCCGACTCATCCGCACAGCCTTCCAATGGATCGGTACCACCGGCCTATTCTTGCTGCCCCGCCTGGCACCCAACCTCGTGCCACACATGCCTGCCATTGCCCTCGCCTTCGGCTGCAATCATTTGATGTCCCTGGCCTGCGAAGTCGACCGGGAGTACACAGCTGACATCGCTGCCCAACTAGCGCGTCCTCCCAACGAACGCGGTGACTGCTCCCTCCTACAGCCCGCCATCGACCGCGCCCGTGACGCCGCGTACTACAGCTCTAAGTACACTGCAAAGACGATTGAACGCAGCCAGGCGCACCTCACATGCGCCGCCGTGGGCCGTGTACAGGACTTCATGATGGCAGGTCACCGACCCAGCGCCACCGGTGATGGACCCAGCACGTTCAGCAACCTGTGTACCGTGGTGCACCGCATGACGGCCACTATCACGGCTGGCATGGCACTGGTCGCCTTCAAACTGTCAGGCCACGATACGTTCCAAGCAACCTACAAACGCAACTACCTACCGATAGGTGCCTTCACTGCACTGGCGTCCGAATCCGCCGTAGAACCAGAAGACGCGGAAACCGGTGTGGAGCTTGTAGAGGCGGACGAGCATGGCGACTACACCCTCACCAGCGTCGTACAGAACTACACGCAGCGTGGAGTGGAGCTGAGCGGCTTGGACTGCAGCGCCTACAGCATCGCATCCAACTTCGAGGTGAAACGTATAACGCCCGCGCAGCACCCCCATGCTGCCATCCTCAGTGCCCAAGTCCTCCCTGTACCTGGCCGCTGCAAGCGCAAAGCCCCTGGCGCCGCTATGACCCCTACTACTGACGCACCTCCCGCCCCATCTGGCACCCAGCCCACCGCCGTTATGGCGTCCCCTGTGCCAGCTGGCCCATCTGCAGAACAGCTGCCCACGAGCCCGATGTCGACCATACCTCCCAAGAATGTGCCTTCCAACCAACGCACCCGCT